TTTTGGACTTTGGCTTGGGGTGCAAGCAAAGCTAAATCTATAAATAGGGAGAAACTCTTATTTTGTAAGCAACTCAATCATATTTTGTAATTCACATTTTACAGTTGCAAGTGAAATAACAGAATTTTCACAGTTTGTGGGGAGAGAGTTCTCTGCAAAAAATTTTCCATCATCTTTTTCTCCAACATTTACTTTCTTCCTTTCCTTCTTTCTAAACTTTTCTTTCATCGTCATTACATGAGTGAGAACAATCTTGAGATCAAGATTGATTGAGTGAAATTCTCCATAGGTTGTGGTTGAATTTCCAACAGTGTGTACTATAAGAAATTGAGAAAAGAGTGTCATAGGAGAGGAATAAAAAATTGTTGTTTATTATTAAAAATCTCCTCCCTCTCTCTCTCTCCCTTCTTTTTTGAATCAACGACAACTTAAAAAAATACGACTTTTTAAAAATTTATACGCTTCCTCTCTTCTTTCAATTAGTTAAAATTCTCTCCTTTTCTCTATTTTCTTTACCTAAACATGTCTTGAGTTTGCATCATCTATGATAGGTCTTGAGGAGAAGCATTCACATTGATTCAAGAGCAACACACAAGTGAGGTCAAAATCTTATGACATTAGATATACGAGTCCTTTCACTAACAAAATACTCAACCTCCACTTTTCAAGCAATGCGAGACTTCCAACTCACACTTTTATGTCAATAATTTCTCTCTCAAATGTGAGATCATTCACTTATATACTATATCTCAAGAAAAATATATTTTATCTACATACACTTGTATCATTGGTGACATGATTACCATGTCACAAGCATTTTAAGGGGACACGTCATCTGACCACCACATTATCAGGAAGACTTTTGATATAATGAGATGGTCTTTTACTCGAACTATCGAATCTGATACCACAAATGTGTCATAAGGAGGAGCATCCACATTTGATAAGAGAAACACACAAGTGAGAGAGACACCACACATTCACTAAAAACCTTAAGACATGAGTATATGGGTCTTCTCACTTATAAAGTGTTCAACTTTCACTTTTTCAATCAATGTGGAACTTTTAACTGATACTTGTATCTCAATAATATCTTCCTCTTTTCAAAAAAATATCTTTCATGACCACCACCAACAAAAATCCCAAGAAAAACTTATAAAAAAACAACAATTAAAGGCGCACGATTTCATAACTGAAGAGGTTGATTTTTTAAATTTATGATTTATTGTGTCGTTTGCTTAAAAAAGACATGATGATGGACATATGATGAAGAATATATAAAAAAATATTTAAATATCCAAATAAGATTTTAAATATACGGGTTAATACCAAGACCTTTTCATTCACAATGACACTCATCCCCTCTTTTCTCTATAATTTTTCAAATTTGTTTTCCATGTTTGGATTAACACAAATTATTTTGCTTAACATGATAGAATAAAATAACTATCGCATTATTAGAAAAGAGAGGAAAATGATAGATTTGCAAAGTAAAAAGTGACGAAAATAATGAGTTGAATTGAGAAATAGAATAGTCAATTGCATTCTTTTATTTCACTAAAATATTTTTATTGGCTTTGAGCAAAGTCTTTTATTTACTTTTTTTTTTAGCAATTTAATAATCAAAGTTTCATTATTTAAAGGTGAATAAGTTAGATGTTGCAGGTTTGATTAAAAAAAAAGTTAAATGTTGCAGGTTTGATAAAAAAAGGTTAGATGTTGAGATTTGAACTCGCACTCTTACAATTACATGTTAATAAATTCTTATTTTAACGAGACTAATAAAATTTTATTTTAATTTTAATTCATCATAATTGATAAATAAGTTTAATTATACAAAAAATGAAGATCCATTTTAGTTCCTCACAAAAATTAGAGAGTCCAAATTAATCCTTAAGAAAAAAAGTCCTTATTAAATCCCTTGGTTAGTGGTCATCAATCTCCACCATTAAACCAACATATTATCTATGTTTTAAATTACAAACAACACTTATACTAAACTAATTTAATATAGAGTCGGACCAAGGATCATTTAGAGGAATCTTTAGCCACTAATATAGAGTCGGTCTCTAGGCAAAACTTCGTTCAACCCCTATAAATCGCTAATTCCATAGCTTTGATAGTAGCACCAAGTTCAGCATGAAGAGAAGAGGAACAAACGTTCAACAAAAGCAAAGATAAGATTCCTAAGATGGTTGCGTAAAATACCACCCCACCGACCGCAAGTGAATCGTGAAGAAAAGCTCCGTCAGAGTTGTATTTGAATCAACCAAAGGAAGGGGGACCAAAGAACTTCTTTAATTGAAGGAGCATTAGGAGGCTTAATAGTAACATTGAAGACTTTAATGATTTGGAACTCATTCATATTGATGAAGGAAGCTTTAAAGATGTTATTACCCGATAATAAAACCTGCTACATAATTCTTTTCTTGGTATGATCAATCGTGGGTCTCATGCGATCGAATTTTGAATCATTGCGAGCTTATTGAATCTCAACAAAGGAATTGATGACAACTGCTCCAACCACAATTGAGATTTAAATGAATACTATTAGAGAGCACATTAAATTGATATTTGAAAAGATATTTTGCTTTTTATTTATTTATTTTAGTTTTAACTTTTTGTAAAATTATATTAACTTTTAATACTTTTTAAAAGATGTTTTCCAATCAAAATTATGAAGTTTATAATTTAATGTGCTATAATCTAGATTTTTAAGATTTAAGTGATTCTATGATATTTTATATAAAATAAGAGTAAATAAAAAATATAATAAAAGAATTCTAATATCTAAATAAAGTAAAAATAATATTAATACAAATCTTTTTTACCCGATAATAAAACCTGTTGCATAACTCTTTTTTGGGATGACCAACCGTGAGTTTTATGTGATCGAATTTTAAATTATTGCGAGCTTGTCAAATCTTAATAAAGGAATTGATGACAGCTACTCTAACCAAAGTTGAGATTTTAATGAATACTATTTTTAATTGTATTATGTTAGTGTTTTTTTTAAAACGCTTTAAAGTATTCTTGAAAAAAAAACGCTTTAAAGTATTCTTAAAGGCTTTTTAAAAATCTTGACAAAATGTTGCAAACTGCTTTTAAATAGAAATGTTATAATGTGTAAAAGAAGGTTATAAAATTTCATTATTATTTTCGTTGTTAGCTGGTAAATGACATCACCTTTTAATAAAGTGCCGATATAGATATAAAAAATAAAAAATAAAGTGCTGTTATAGATAGAGATGCTTATGGATACAAGTTGATATGCAAATCACTCGATCTAAACCAAATCAATCGATTAATTATCTAAATCCGTTCATTTATGGATATATATACTCGACCCAACCCTATGACAATCCGCATAGTTTTAGTCTAGTTATTGAGTTTGGGTTTTTGAACTCGTAGATCTATTGACCTAACTTGTTGACATGACATTATCGTTTTTCTAAAATTATATTAAACTATATGATTACAATATGCCCTAATTTTTCATTTAGAACTAATATTGCTACTAGATCAATATGAAATCATTAAGTTTATGTAATTTTAAGATTAAATATTATTTTTTATTTGTTTTTATATCATTTTCAATTGACAGATTTTACGAAAATGACGTGTTTTTGTAAAATTTGCTATTATTATTAAGTGCTATGAGATCTATATGAGTTTTATTAGACCTTATATGATGTGCTTTGTATTATTTAAGTGTTGAAAAAAAGTGTAATTGCATTGAACTTTATTACACTTTTTAAAATTGAAAACAAACAATTATCAAATTTTGGTAATATTTTAATTGTATACACAATCCGTGATTTCAGACCAACCTAACTCGTAAATGGATGGGTTGGTTCATTTTTATTTTAATGTCAAAATTATTAGTTGTACGATGAATCTAACCCATTTGAACGAGTTCGGTAATAAGTTAGATTAATTTGGTCCAATCCAACTCGTGTATGCCCATAATAGTCATAGGTAGAAAAAAAATGTTTTTAAAGCATTTTTCACGAACAAGTTGAATAACAAGTTAGATAAAATTCGTCCAACCCAACATGTGTATAACCATAGCCTTAGGTAGAAAAAGAGTGTTTTTTAAAGCGCTCTCCATGAATAAGTTGAATGACAAGTTAGACTAAATATGATCAAATCTAACTCATGTACAACTATAGTAGTAGGTAGAAAAATAAATTGTTTTTTTTAAAGCACTGTACACAAACAAGTTGAGTACTTTTTCGTTCCACAATAAGTGACTCATTTGAAATAAGAGGGTATTCCAAAATGAATGACATGTTTCAATTTCGAATTCACTTTTTTTTATTTATAAATTTTATTCTTTAATTAATATTATTTTCATGATTTTCAATACATGATAAATACACTTTAATAAAAATAACATTCTTTTTCTTCAATTTATTCTTTTTTTTATAATTTGTATAAAACTGTCAACTGTATCATTTAATGTAAAAATGATATTGTAAAGTGAAGAGAACAATAAATCATATAAATATGATCCAACCCAACTCGTATATATTCATGGTTGTTCCAATAAAAATGACGTTACATCCATCCATAGGAGTTGAACTCCAACTGAATCAACTTAATATAATCTAGTATAACAAATTTTGTTACACATAATTTTCAACTTTAATTCTTTTAATTTTAAGTGATTTTATGATTTTACAAAAGTACTCTTAAAAATAAAAGCATTTGAAAAATAATCCTATTTTTATAACTAAAAAGTTAATAGTTTAATATATATCATTCAGTAATTTAAAATTTTCAATTTAACTATCCTTATTAATTGAGCGTAAAATTAAAATAAAAGATCTTAGGAAATGATAAACTTTTATTTTTATTCTCTCATTTTAAAAAGTTATATTTTGACAGTTTTAATTCTCAAGAACAAAAATGTATTGGGAAACTGTTTTTATTCTCAGTAATTTTCCAGTGTAACATGTCTTACATCTCTCTAACACATTGGAACTTCCGAAACAAACATGCCTTCACTGCGCTTCCCTTTCATCTTCTCTAACCCCAAACCTCCTCAATCCCCACGTCCATTCTCCAAATTCGCCGCCGCAGCTGCCACCGCCGGAGCCGCCGCCGCATTCGTCGCCGTCTCCTCCAATGACCGCCACCGCCTCTTTCTCCACAATGCATTGAATTCGTTCTTATCTCCGGACAATTCCTTGCCTCTTTGGGGCTCCCTCAGTTTAGCAGACAGTGGGGTTCCAGTTGTGGACTCCAAGACCGGATCCTCGTTCCCTTCGATTCTAGAAGCTTCGCAGAAACTATGCGGAATTGGATTGCGGAGGAAATGCGTTTTAGGTTTAAAGAACATTGATGTATATGCATTTGGTATGTTATTGTTACCATTTGTGTTAATTTGTTATTGGAATTTTATTGGTTTGTTAATTATTGTAATATTTACTCTGAAAAGTTTGATCTTTTATTGTATTTCTAATTTGGGGAAATTATGGTTTTTAATGAAGGTGTTTATGCTGATGATGATGAAATAAAGAAATGTCTTTCTGAGAAGTATGGGAAATTTTCGGCGTCTGAGTTAAAGGGCAATAAGGAGTTTACCGAAGATCTTCTGGAGAATGATATACATATGACAGTAAGGCTTCAAATTGTTTATGGGAAATTGAGTATTCGTTCGGTGCGTAGTGCATTTGAAGAGTCTGTTGGAAGCAGACTGATAAAATATGGGGGACCAGACAATAAAGAATTGCTTCAGAGGTGGGTTAGTTTCTTCGTACGCTCTGTTAAATCATATTTAAATCCAATTGGGTGAAGATTTCATGTTGCATATTGTGGTTATACTTGACTAGCATGCTTTGATGTAGGTTTACTTCACAGTTTAGTGATGAAATCAAAATACCTCGTGGGTCTGTAATTCATCTCGTAAGAGAGAAGGGCCATGTTCTTCGTACCACAAGTAAGATATCCTTCTCCATGTTTGTGTTTCCATTTTCTCAATTTTCAGAAATATAATGCAGTGCATGTATAATCTTTTTTGCGCTTCATGAACTATTCACATAAGGATAATTCAGGTATTCTAAACCATGCCAATCTTTAGAGCACTTAGTGTAGAGTTGTTTTAGTCGCTTATGTTTGATACTATTCTTGTTATAAATGTTACATTGCAACAGGGTCTTTGATGTTAATTTTGTCTTGGTTTTTGTAGTTGACGGAAAGGAAGTGGGAAGCATCCAGAGTAAACTTCTATGTAGATCAGTCCTAGATTTATATGTTGGCGAGGAATCGTTTGATAAACAGGCCAAAGAAGAGATAGAGCTCAATATGGCTTCTTACCTCCAAAGTTAGACTGCTAAATAAAAATCCTCTGTAATTTAAGACATGGGTTCAATCCTTGTTAATTCCATGCCTCTAGTAAGTTTTTGTTTGATGTTGTGTAAGTTATTCAATCTTGTTGATGTATCCCTCGCGCTTCAAGATTGCTACACCATGAATTTATTCATACTATTGAAGCAATATGCCGAGATCAAAACCCAATAAAAAATTCCAGTATCAAATATTATTTAAGAAACTCCTTTTGTTCTTTGGTATTATTGCATTCTCAGTTACAAAAACAAGATGGTTGTATTTGACACCAAGCATCGGCATTCCCATCTTGATTATTAAAAGTTTAAATCCTAATAAGACTAGACTGAAAGGTACAAACAATCAAGTAAACATGGTGACACGTGTTTTTAAAACATTACTAATAGCTAGGTGTTTCAGGTCACTTTTTGAAAAAGAACTTTATCAATATGATAGTTAATGATCCCTGGATCACTGTAAGCTGCATAGTAGAAACTCTTGGCCACCATGAGGAATGAGTTCTTGATACTCGAGTGCAAATCATCTTGAGAGCTTTGAAGCACCAATTGCACTAGTTCTTGCATCCTTGACTCTACATCCCGGGCATAGGGACCAATAGGTTCCTGACAATAACAGAAACAGAAACGTAAATGTAATGGATTTGAATTTGTATTTTGAGCTTGAATTTATCACCTTACTATGCAACTTGTTTTTTTTGAATAGTTGTTAAACTTACTACATGTTTGGATTGCTTGTGAGTTTGGCAGAATCAACCAAATCGCAGTGCCGCATTGATTTCATAAATCCAAACATGCACTAATTCTCTTTATGGAAGCTAGGCATAAAACTAGTATTCATTACTAACCATGTTGATTTGGTAATTATGGATGCTAAGGCAAACCCTCTTAGTGGCTTCAAGCAATTTTTGGTACTGAGGATCAAGCTCTAGATCTTCTGACCAATTACCAGAGGTTAAATTTATGATTTGCACTAGTAATTCTGCTTCTCCTGGGCATCTGTTTCCTTTACTACGCCAGCTTGCAAACCAACTTTGCCACTGATCATTTAACAAAATGAAAATCTTTAGCATAAAAACTCTCAAGTTCTTTCTATTTGCTATTCACTTGCATGTTTCATTTAACTTAAACTTGGTTATAGGTGTGTTCAAAAGAAGTTACAATTACAAATGCATTTAAAGTTACAAGCCTCAAAAGGATTTCCACTCACCATTCGATTCAAATAATGTGAATTTTCTTGATCATGGCACATAAACATTTCGAAGCTAATGAGATCAAGCGTTGACAGCAAAACTTGCAGGAGTTTTTCATCTCCCTCGTTCTCTAACCACCTGCATCAAGTTACACATGCATGTTCAAAAACATATTTTGTTGCATAAGTCCTGGAATTTTATGTCCAAATTGAGTTATTAACCAGAGTTCAAATTTTCAAATGATATCAGATATCTAGTACTGAACATGAGAAGGGTAAAGAGTATATGAATGATATATTTACTTGTTTAAGTCGTTTCCTCCCTTAATGAATTCATTTAACTGATCACCAAATTCATTCCTAGTTTCTTCGTCTTTAAAATACGATTTCAGTGTCCGGATTAAAGCTGTTGTTTTAGCCCATGCAAATCTCTCCAAAGATCTCTCAGGCTCAAATATGTTCGCTGCTGCTACAAAATAAGCGAACAGGAGACTCTTTTTGGTCAATCCAAACCCTTCTAGTTCGGATTCCAGGTACCACCTAATATACAAATAAGCAATTGTAAATATTGAAAAGTTTATTAATTGTTGTTTTCATTGAATAAATCATGTAAGATAGTGTTCTCTGGTTATTAATTCTTACGTTTGGATTTCTTCCCATTCTTTATTATGCACTGCTTGACAATTATTGTAATCCAATTTTCCAAGTTCGAGATAAACATCATTGTTCACATACGGCATCCTATCAAAGTTGAGATTATAAGTTTTCGATTTGTTGAAACTAAGATCAACAGTAAGGGTTGGGAGATAAAACTAAAATTCTTACCTGTAAAGGGTCTTGCCAATCCAAACATCATCTTTACCACCATACTGTTCTAGGTAAAATCTTGCCTCCAATCGAGGTAAGCTAGCATACCATGGTACATCGAGAGCATAACCCACCTGCAGAGTTGTTACAATGTTAATGGTGTAAAAATAACGACACTATTATTTTATTTGTCGGTATGCATGTAGCCCCGAATTTGTGGAATTTACACGAATTTCAACAGTGTTTTAGAACTCACCTCGCCAGGTAAATCCTTGGTTATGATCCATTTGTCTAGAAGCTCATTAGCAACACGTTTCCTAGTTAAATATTTGGCAGAGAAGTTCTTGGCATTCTCAAGAATTTCCTCTCCTTTAAACAGAACTTGAGATGCTCTATACAGATTAAACATGCCTGTCACAGCTTGGTTCAGTTGTCCCGCAAAGCAGAAGAATTCACCATTGTTCTCAAAATGCTTGAACACATCTGCCAAATTAGGAATCAAAATTGAAAATTTCAATTCATTTGTGGAGATCATTATATACATTTCTTCAAACCAATATGAGAAATTCATGCAAATATCGAACATACTGGGTGAAACATGGTGGCCATGCAACCTCAGAATTCTAAATCCCATAGCTGTGTCATCAATATCTTGAACCTCTGAATTTCTTGCCCAGCAAATACCTTTCTCCGTCCAGTATCTAAAATTTCCAAATTACATTAAGCAAGTGAATAATCAATCATATAGAAGACAATGCATGTATGTTTTCTCAAATTCACACATTTATCTTCTAATATTTGTAATTGTAAATCAACTTATCCTATGTGGAGTGTACCTTGACAAATAGTTCACAGAGTCCTTGATCTCTTGCTTAAAATATCTTGAAACTCCAAGTCGTTCCAGCCTATCCACAACCCACACATGCTCAAACAAATCCACCGGGAAGACATTTGGAACTGGCAAAATAAACATTTCCTCCAAATTTAATTATTAAAGAAAACACCTAATCGTACATAGATTAAGAAACGTGGTAAAATGTTATTTTGTTGGAGAACTTTACCTCCTCCATTGAACTTCTCAACAATTTTGTGCAGGTAGTTGAGTGCATCTTCGTCACCGGTTTGCGTAATAGCAAAAGCCGTGGAGGATGGAGAGAACAAGAAGGACCCATCTTGAGACTGAAGCTTTAGAAGCTGGTTCCAATCCAAATCCTGCATTCCTTCCAAACTATGCAGCAATGTTGTTGGAACCTTGTGTAACACTTCTCTTGGTATTCTGTCATTTAGATCAAAATTATTAGTTAAATTTAAGATAATAATTCTATATACAATGTTGGATACACAACAATCCATGTATTATTGTACTATGGTTGAAAAATAGAAATTCATACTTTTTGAGTTTCTGGTCTCTCATTAAAAATATTTCTTTCAAAATAGGTGAATCTTCGGGCACTTCAATATTTAAACTTTTAGCTATATTCAGAAGAGAAGGAAAAGCAACTTCAAATCCAATTGGCATGTGCTCAGCATTCTCATCTTGAATTTTGTCTAGATTTTCCACAAAAAATTTCATTCCTGTTAAATATGAACATGCATATATTCACAGTTAGTTCTTTTTTAGTCCCTATCACAACTAAAAGCATATAATTTAACATGTATAAATTTACCTTTTTCACACATATCAGGGTGCACATTCCATGATTTCAACGCAATGACACAAGCCAAGGTGTTAAGAATCCTGTCATGTGCCACAAATAACTCATCTCCCCATGAGCCATCAGCAAGTTGATTATCCACAATCCATTGAAGAGAAGATGGGAACTGTGGCTTATTTTCATCATCAGCATTTCTCACTAGAGCAACCCAAGCTGTGTCATAAGCTGATATGCTTATTTCTCCATCTTCCATGGACTTTAACATCCTTTTCACCTCATTTATTTGCGTCCTAATCTTGTTGATCACCATGACCTACAAAGCTCAAATCGAAAGATATTCATTAGATTATCAAATAATACACAGTGCTACACAGTCAAAACAAACACAAATGTATGTCACGATTCCATGACATACATGTTGATAAGAATACTCAGTTTTATTTATCAATGTTTATAAATGTTTATTCTAAATTCGAAGCTATTAGTCTAGAAAAAAAATTTAGAGTATAAATATGATTCATTATTGAAGTGGATCATATAACTAGTTGTTAGTAATATCTTAGACATTCACTTTCATTCTATCCCTCAATATTTAGGGTAAAATCTAAGCAATAAATACACTTAAATACTAATTATTTCATAGACATACCTGATGAAAAGATTCAGCATAGTTATCATTCTTCACAGCCTCATCTGAAAGCACAGCGTCTTGTGAAACTTCATTAAGATATTTTGATAGAGTCATTAGTTACATTAATTTTGATATTATGGAGTATTCAAAAAATTTACTTCAATAATAATACACATAAATGAGTACTTGTTATGCTACCTTGTGAATATATTGGCTGATATCCACCAGAGTTCTTGTCATGTTCTGCTTTGATGGTTCCAACGGGACGTGTACCTATACCAAATATTAAATAAATTAATCAATATGTATTTAAATTAAAAAAATTCTTATCCTAGGAAAAACTGTTTAGAAAATTTTAGAGGTTTGTTTACAATGTAGTTATAGTGCAAGGACTATGAAAAGTTCCCCTAAAAACTATTTAATCTATCTTCTCTGAACTCATTTTAAGCAAAAATATATAATTTCACAATTATTAAAAGATAGTAGCTAAGTATTTAATTTTACGTAAAAAAAGTTATCCAATAAAACAACAAAAAAATTGCTAAAGTTATCTAATAAAACAACAAAAAATTTGCTAAAGTTATCCAATAAAACAACAAAAAAATTGCTAAAGTTATCCAATAAAACAACAAAAAAATTGCTAAAGTTATCCAATAAAACAACAAAAAAATTAATTTAAAGATGCAGATCCATGTCTCTCA